CAGTTGGAGTGTTGTTCTCGTCAGGGTACATATTGTTTTTTTCCGGGGTCATAGGGGTTTATTACGGGATGCCCAAAAATGATATATGATTAGCTGGTTGGCAGATAGCTGGAACTATAGGAGAAGTTGGCCTTTACTAGAAGCAATTTCTTCATATAAGCCGTTATTATGTTTCGTCAACAAGTGGTTATGTTTTTCATCAACAAGCGGTCATCATGTTGTTAAGGCCTTTCGCATTGCTGCCTTTCGCATTGCTTCCTTCCCCTCCCTCCTCTGGTCATAGCCCATGACCGTATTTGGCAGGGAATTGTAGCAGCTTAGTTTTGTTCAGGCCCTGGCCTGTACTGTTCTATGTAAAGGCCGTCTATATAGTCAGCCTCTGTCAGAGGGCCTGAATTTGGGCCTTCAGTGTTACTTTGGCTGCCACAAAGAAGGCCACCTAGTTTTTTTTCCCCACAGAAGTAAGTCCCTTGCTGCAGCTGTTCAGACAGACCAGAGTTCCTGAAAATGCGAGCATCATGTACCTTTCCCAGCCATCCCAGATTGATGTTGGTGAAACGTCCCTTGTGATCCACCAGTGCTTGCAGCACCATTGAAAAGTACCCCTTGCGGTTTATGTACTGGCTGCCTTGGTGCTCCGGTCCCAAGATATGGATATGCGGTCTATCGCCCCACCACAGTTAGGGAATCCCATTGCAGCAAAGCCATCCACTCTGACCTGCACATTTCCCAGAGTCACTACCCTTGATAGCAGCAGCTCAGTGATCGCGTTGGCTACTTAGATCACAGCAGCCCCCACAGTAGATTTACCCACTCCAAATTGATTCCTGACTGACCGGTAGCTGTCTGGCATTGCAAGCTTCTACAGGGCTATCGCTACTCACTTCTCAACTGTGAGGGCTGCTCTCATCTTGGTATTCTTGTGCTTCAGGGCAGGGGAAAGCAAGTCACAAAGTTCCATGAAAGTGTCCTTACGCATGCAAAAGTTTCGCCGCCACTGGGAATCATCCCAGACCTGCAACGTTATGCGGTCCTACCAGTCTGTGCTTGTTTCCCGGGCCCAGAATCGGTGTTTCATGGCATGAACCTGCCCCATTACCACCATGATATCCGAATTGCCAAGGCCTGTACTTTGAGAGAAGTCTGTGTCCATGTCCTCATCACTCTCGTCACCGTGCTGCCGTCACCTCCTCGCCTGCTTTTGCAGGTTCTGGTGCTGCATATACTGCAGGATAATGCACGAGGTGTTTACAGTGCTCATACCTGCCACGGTGATCTGAGCAGGCTCCATGCTTGCCTTGGTATGGCATGTGCAGGAGAGCAGAGTGGCAGCGGAAGCGTGACAATGGTTTTCAGCCCTATTGTACCATGTGCTGCCAGAGCAGAGTGGCAGCGTGACGATGGTTTGCAGCCCTATTGTACCGTCTGCTGCCAGCAGTACCCAGGACACAACAGCGGCAGCTGAGCTGAGCAGGCTGCACGCTTGCCATGGTATGGCGTGAAACAGTTGTCTGCCGTTGCTGTCACAGAGGGAGGGGCGACTGACGACATGTACCCAAAACCACCCGCGACAATGTTTTTGCCCCATCAGGCAGTGGGAGCTCAACCCAGAATTCCAATGGGTGGTGGAGACTGCGGGAACTTCGGGATAGCTACCCACAGTGCAACGCTCTGAAAGTCAACGCTAGCCTTCGTAGTGTGCCGACTTAATTCGAATTAATGCGCTTAGTGAGGACACACACAATCGACTGTATAAAATCGCTTCCTAAAATATCAACTTCTATAAATTAGACCTAATTTCGTAGTATAGACATACCCTTATTTACAATGTCACCTGAAAGTGAGAACAGGCATTTGCATGGCACTTTTGTAGCCGGTGTTGCAAGGTATTTACATGCCAGATATGCTAAACATTCGTATATCCCTTCATGCTTCGGCCACCATTCCTTGAGGACATGCTTCCAGTCTGATGATGCTCATTAAAAAAAAATAATGCATCAATTAAATTTATGACTGTACTCCTTGACAGGGAGAATTGTATGTCTCCTGCTCTGTTTTACTTGCACTCTGCATAGAATTATAGCAGTCTCGGATAATAACCCATGTTCGTTTTAAGAACACGTTCACAGCAGATTTGACAAAACGCAGAAAAGGTACCAACGTGAGATTTCTAAAAACAGCTACAGCACTCGACTCAAGGTTTAAGAATCTGAAGTGTCTTTCAAAATCTGACAGGTATGGAGCAGGCTTTCAGAAGTCTTAAAAGAGCTACATTTTGATGCGGAAACTACAGAACCCGAAACATCAAAAAAGAAATCAACCTTCTGCTGATGGCATCTGACTCAGATGATGAAAATGAACATGCATCAGTCCGCACTGCTTTGGATTGTTATCGAGCAGACCCCATCATCATCATGGATGCATGTCCTCTGGAATGGTGGTTGAAGCATGAAGGGACATATGAATGTTTACCACATCTGGCATGTAAATATCTTGTGACGCCACCTACAACAGTGCCATGTAAATACCTGTTCCCACTTTCAGGTGACACTGTAATCAAGAAGCAGGCAGCATTATCTCCAGCAAATTGTAACCAACCTTGTTTGTCTGAGTGATTGGCTGACCAAGAAGTAGGACTGAGTGGACTTGTAGGCTCTAAAGTTTTACATTGTTTTATTTTTGAATGCAGTTATTTTTTGCACATAATTCTACATTTGTAAGTTTAAATTTCATGATAAAGAGATTGCACTACAGTACTTCTAATTGAATTGAAAATTTTTGTTTTGTTTTTTACAGTGCAAATATTTGTAATACAAAATAAATATAAAGTGAGCACTGCACACTTTGTATTCTGTGTTGTAATTGAAATTAATATATTTGAAAATGTAGTAAACATCCAGAAATATTTAAAAGAAATGGTATTCTATTGTTGTTAACAACACGATTAATTGCACAATTAATTTTTTTTAATCCCACACTTTTTTTTTAATCATGCCACAGGCCTACAAATTAATTTTTATTCTCCATTATCTGAGCAAATAAATTATCATCATGGATGCTTGCATGACTCAGCCTTTTTGTATAGTTCCCCTTTCTGAAGTTAAACGCAACGGTGGTGGATTTCTTGGGTATTTCCTCCCCAACAAGGATGTTAAATTTAATTACATTATGGTTGCTATTAACAAGCTGATTCAGATATATTCACCTCTTGGACCAGATCCTGTGCTCCATTTAGGGGTAAATCAAGAATTGCCTCTCCCCGGTGGAGTCCAGGACTAGCTGATCCAAGAAGCAGTAATTTATGGTGTCTAGAAATTTGTCTCAGCATCCTGTCCTGAGGGGACATGCAGCCAGTCAATATGGGTATGGTTGAAATCCCCCATTGTTATTGATTTTTCTATTTTTGTAGCCTCTCTAATCTCTGTGAGCATTTCACAATCACCATTCTGGTCAGATAGCTGGTAGTATATTCCTTCTGCTATACTCATTATTCAAGCATGGAATTTCTATCCATAGAGATTCAATGGTACAGTTTGATTCATTTAAGATTTTTACTATATAAGATTATAAAATAAGACTATAAGATTTTTACGGCTAGTTACTTACTGCAGAGCTAGAAGGAGGACCTACCACATCATTTAGGACGTGTCCCATGGTCTTGGCTGTCAAATGGGCCCTCTAAGCGAAAACTCATTGTTCAAATCCCCCTTTCATATTCTCTACCTATGTATGAATCAGTGTTCCACTTGTCTCTGATACATCCTCTCTCATTGGTTACAAGCCTACAAATCTCTCTCCCTTTAATCTTATAAAAACAACTTTAATTTGCCTAACAACAGCAAAGCTAATTATAACCAATTTTACCTAACAACTACCTTCCTCCTTATTTTTACATCAGGCTCCATTTTGTACTATCTATATTCCTTCACCCTTGTTAAAAAATTTGGCAGCACATCACCACCTTATTCTATCCTGTACATTCTTCAAATTCTTGATCTTCCCTTGGGCTCTATCCTGCTAAATACTAGTTTCTTTGGCCTTGGCTACACTTGCAGCTGTACAGCGCTGTGAGGTGAACCTGTCTTCGTACAGCTGAGTAGGGAAAAGCGCTGCAGTCTGTCCACACGGATAGCTGCCAGCGCAGTGGTGTGGCCACACTTGCAACATTTGCAGCTGTGTTGGGAGCGGTGCATTATGAGCAGCTATCCCAGCATTCATGTGGCTGCAACGTGCTTTTCAAAACGGGGGTGGGGTGGATTGTGACAGGGAGTGTGGAGGGAGAGAGAATGCTTTTTGGAGCATGGCAGCTCTCTATTTTGCAAATTCCGAACTCCCGGCCCCCTGCTCATTCATTCACTCACTTAAAGCAAGCTGCAAACTGTTTGCTTTTCTCTGTGGTACGAGCTTTGAAACCGGCACTTCTGCATTCCTGCAGCCTGTCACAACAATGGAGAGGATTGGCCACTTGACAAGGTGATTAGTACAGCGCTGCAAGCGTTTACACTCACACCCGTGAGTCGTAGCCACTCTGCTGCAGCTGTTATTCCTCTCGGAGATGTGGAGTACCTGCAGCGGTGTACCCAGGGAGATACAGCGCTGTAAAGTGCCCTGCCAGTGTGAACGGGGAGTGAGTTACAGCGCTGGGGGAGGCTTTACAGCGCTTTAACTTGCAAGTGTAGCCAAGGCCTTTGTTTGTTTTTTGTAACTGAAGTGTTTTACAGGGATAGTTGTGTTCTACTTCAGCTAAGAGGAACTCCACAAAGACAAAAACACAGTATGGAGTTTCCTTGGCTACACTCCCTGTCACAATCCACTCCCTCTCCCCCCGCCCCATTTTGAAAAGCACGTTGCAGCCACATGAATGCTGGGATAGCTGCCAATAATGCACCACTCCCAACACAGCTGCAAATGTTACAAGTGTGGCCACACCTGTTAGCCAAATGGGCTCATTTCCCCCTGGAGCTGCCCAATTACCCCAAGGAGGCACGGGAGTCTAGAAGACGGCTTCAAGTTCTTTATTGATCAGTCAGCTGAGCGGGTGTCCCCCTCGACTCATGCCAGAGGGAGGAACACCCCTTACAAGCGTAGAGCAAGCCTTTTTATACCCAGTAACAAACGACTTAGCGTGCATACATTCTGCTGACCTATGGAATTTTTAAATTCCTTTCTAGGGATAAATAGGATACATCTGTTGGGGCCTCCTTGATTGATTACTTTCTAGGGGTAGGGGTAAATGGGATACATCTGTTGGGGCCTCCTTGATTGATTACTTTCTAGGGGTAGGGGTAAATGGGATACATCTGTTGGGCCTCCTTGCTGTTGGGCGTCCTTGATTGATTGTCTTGCTATACATATATACGGGAAACGGGGCTATGGCCATGGGGGAACAGCTGGGATAATAGGCAAGTATTTGGCCTTTGTTCTAACAAGGTTCTCCCCCCTTAAAAGCATTTTGAGAGCTTTACAGCCCCCAATCCTCAGCTTTCAACGGCTGATACAGTGTCATCATGCGTTGGTGTACAATTTGATTAGCCATTCGTCGGACTAATGCAACTACACAGGGAGCAAAGCAAGCTAGGGTTAATAGGGTTGTAGTAAAGAGTATAAAGAGAAGAAGGCCTTCTCGGAGCCATCCCAGTTGCGGTAACCAGGACGTAAACCAGTCCATATTCCACCCACCCCATGTTTGGACCGGGACATGGGCTAGCTTCCTCATTTCTTTTGTTAGCTGTTTTACCGCCTTTCCATTATCATCTATTTGTAAACAGCAATTAGATTCGTTTAATTTTGCACAGATTCCCCCTTCTTCTGCCAGCAAATAATCAAGAACTAGATGGTGCTGGTAGAGCACATTCCTCATCTGAGTGGACTGATCGGCCAAAAGATCAAGTCTGATTAGTTATTATTTCTAAAATGGCTTGCAGCCTAATTATCCGATTCAAGTTGTAAATGGGCTCCCTTGCCCCTGAGATCCACTCATTAGGATTCCATGTGGCTGGACCATAATGTTTTATAATTCTTTCAGGGGGCCACTCTTGAGCTCCCCACGTTTGGGAGCTTCCAGCGGTCAATGTGGAATCAACGGACCGCCTCTCCCTAATCAAGTCGTCATATACCTTAATTCCTAATTTATTTCCCTGAATTTGGGGTAATAGAAAGAATAAGGGCCTAATGTACCCAACATAACATATTCCTGACCAATTTGGAGGCAATCTTCGATAAGCGTATTGCCCACATATCCAGTAATGGCCTTTTAGGGCCCATTGTCCATTCGCAAAGGGGCCATCCCAGGTTTCGGGGTAGTCCTCGGGGCCCGGTTCTTCATAATACAAAGAGTTACCCATCTCCAGGGGCCCCCCTAATACAATAGATGTACCGTCAGGATTACAATAGTCACATTTCCATGCCCCAACCCCTTCCCTCCAAGCACAATTACAACCAAATTTAGGGCTATTGGTAGTAGACCAAAAATGGTTAAAATGGGTTATCTGAGTTCCATTAGAATGTTGCCATGCCCACTGATACCAGCGTACCACGTGATCCTTACTGGCGGTATTATCTCGCTGGCAACTTAGAAAGAGGGCATCAAAGAACCCATCTTGTCCAACTGCCTTACAGCCTTCGCCGGTATGCTGTTGGTAGGAACAGCTTACCCAGCTATGATTAGTGAGTTTCACGTGGGTATGGTTCCATCGTCCTTGATATTTAGAACAGTCATACGTATGGCAACTAGGGTGATCATAGCAGTCAAAGCCTAGAGATAGAGTCCAGTCACATCGGCTTTTGCCCACATATACCCCTTCTTGTTTTGTTCGGTTTAGACAAAGGATCCCTACTTCAGAGGAATAGAGTCGCCAAGGGCTACTATCCTCAGTCCAAACTTCTGTTCCTTTGTGGACTATACTTAAATTACTGATCCACCATTTAGCTTGCACTGGCTGGGCTACCCAAGGCCACTCATTCCAATCCCCTGGACCTTCACAAACCCAGCAGCTACTAAGATTGAAGGAACTCGCTATTGTTTCTCCCAGTTGTACAAACCTATTCTTCCAACCATAGCCGTAATAGACACCTATGAACAGAAATATCAATAATGAGTTCATTATTGTTTTTTCCTAAACAGTCCTTTTAGTCCATCGAGTCCTTGATACTCCCAGGCGGTGTCTTTGCCCGTGCCACCCCGGGCTTCCGGGGCCAGGGCGGGCAGAGGGCTGGTGTCCTCTTCCGTGGAATTGGGCAGCCCCAGGGGGTCCATTTGTCGCTCCCGAGAATTTTAACTGCGGCCTGGCTGATGAGCGAAACGGTGTGTGGACCATCCCACCTTGGCGTAAGGGGGTCGCGTTTCCACTTCTTGACAAGGACCTGGTCACCGATCCGGAACGGATGCACGGTCTGGTCCAAGGGGAGGGCCTGGAATGGCGCCGCGTATCGATGAAGCTGCAACAAGACAGATTGCAACCCGGAAACCTGTTTCCATAGTAAGTCATTTCCCACTTCCCAGGTTACATCCTCCCGGAATCCTGGGATAAGTATTCGGGGTGGAAATCCAAAGACTAGTTCAAAGGGTGAGAGTTTAAGACCCTTACGTGGGGCCCTTTGAATGCGGGTGAGGGCGAGTGGTAAGGCATCAAGCCACTTTAAGCTAGATTCTGTGCATATTTTAGTCAGAGTATCTTTGAGAGTTCTATTCATCCTTTCTACTTGACCCGAGCTTTGCGGCCTCTAGGGTGTATGTAGTTTCCATTGTATACCGAGGGCCTGGGATACCTGCTGGACCACTTGTGAGACAAAGTGGCTTCCCCTATCAGACTCAATTACCTCGGGGAGATGGAAACGAGGAAGTATTTCATGTAACAGGGCTTTGGTAACCGCTCGGGCCTGGCAATGCCGGCTGGGGTAACACTCCACCCACCCGGTGAGTTGATCAACAAACACGAGCAGATATTTATAGCCCCTGCAAGGGGGTACCTCAGCAAAGTCAACTTGCCATCTTTGAAAAGGGAATATAGCCCCTGGTCGGCCTCCCATCGGGGCAGGAGGGCCGCATCCCTTCTGGTTCGTTCGTTGACAAATGGAGCAATTATTAACAACTCTCTGGGCTTCCATGTGCATACCCAGTCCTTTAAGGGACCTGGTAGCCAAATCAACCATTGCCCCAGATCCCAGATGTCCCCCTTTATGCTGGAGCTGGAAAATCTCCTGGAGTACTGGCCTGGGGACGAAAACCTCTCCCCCAGGCAATCTCCACCATCCGGAGGAATCCTGCCGGCCTCCTGCAGCCTGGGCATGACCCATTTCCTCGGTTGTGTATTGGGGAGGAGGGGTTTTAGTCTCAGTATCTTGAACCATAAGAAGCCGCGAGGCCCCGTCTCGGGCGGCCTCCTTCGCGGCCTGGTCAGCCAGTTGATTATACTTTCGCTGTTCGGCCTCGGGAGCCCTCCCATGGGCACGCACATGTATCACGGTGACCCGGAGTGGAAGCATCAGGGCCTCAAGCAGGGCTTTAATGAGGCTCCCATGCGCAATCTTTTGACCTGAGGCCGTAATGAATCCTCTTTCTTTCCACAGGGTCCCGTGTGCACGTACCACCATGTAGGCATAACGACTGTCCGTATATAGGTTAAGGGTTTTCCCAGCCCCCAAGCGAAGAGCCTCAATAAGAGCCACCAGTTCCGCTGCCTGAGCGGACAAATTGGGACTGAGTTTAAATTTGTATGCCCCTTCATCCTTAATTACTACTGCCGCGCCAGTATATCGCTTGCCATCCACTACATAGCTGGACCCATCAACATACCCCTCAACATCGGGGTCGGGCCAGGGCAAATCTGAAAGATCAGGTCGGGGTTTGGTTTCTTGTTGCAAGACTTCAATACAGTCATGAGTAGGACCAGTCTCTGGGGAAACCTGGGGGTCAGGCAGTAGGGTGGCCGGGTTAAGGGAACTGACTGTCTTAAAGGTCAGATTGGGGGCCAACAAGAGCCCTACTTCGTATCTAGTATGTCGGCTGGGGTTTAGATGCTTTTCCCCAGCGCCCGTTCCCAGTATCTGAGGCACCCCGTGGGGGACCACAACTTCAGTGTCTCCACCCAGGGTTAACTTTTCGGCTTCCTGAACGAGGAGGGCGGTCGCTGCTACGGCCCGTAAGCAGGCGGGCCACCCCTTGGCGACAGGGTCCAAGACCTTCGAATAGTATCCAATGGGTCGCCAGGTTGGTCCTGACCTTTGGCACAGGACCCCAGCTGCCACCCCTCCTCTTTCATGAACATATAGGGTGAATGGTTTCCGGGAATCTGGGAGGGCTAGAGGTTTTAACCCGATTCTAGTGGTCAGCTTAAGAGGGTATTGTCGAATTCGGACCGGGCTGCTTCCTTCCTTAAGGGAAATATGGACTGGTGAAGCATTCCGGGCCCGAGCGACGCCTCCCTCCTCTGCCCAAACCTCAAGGTTAACACCTGACAGCTGGTTCTCTTCATTCCTACCCCGGCATTCCTGGAAGTGATTTCCAGCGCTTATCAGGGCCATCTGGTAATTGGAGGACTGCTGCTTAGGGAGCCTAACTTCCATAGTCCCTTCATCGAACGAGATTTCTACCTGCAGTTTAGTAAGAATATCTCGTCCGAGCAGTGCGATGGGGCAAGAGGGGCTGCAAACGAATTGGTGGGAAATTTGACGGTCCCCTATTTTTACTAGGAGAGGCAAAGTTTTTTCCAAAGCTGTAGTTCGCCCCTCTATCCCCTGTACGATGGCACGTTCCCGAACTCTATCTCTGGGAGCCTTACTAAGGGGGAGCAAGCTAAGGGTGGCCCCAGTATCAATAAGGGCTTCAATTGGGCGGCCCTCCACATTAATTTTTACCGTGGGATCCAGGCTGGCAGCTTGCGCCGCCAGGAGGGGCCATTGGGTCCCCCGGCTTCCCTATGGGGAAGATCCCTCCCCTGAACGTCCCGTGCTGTTGTAAAGGATGGGAAGGGACGGGGTTTTGTTTTTACGTTCTTTTCCCATGGCCTGTCGCCGGGGGCATTCATTCTTCCAGTGCCCCTCTTCCCTACAGATAGCGCACTGGTTCCGGCCCAGGCGGGGGCCCCGCCCCTTCCCTGGTGGCCCTGGCCTCTCCTTAACCTTGTCCCCCGTTTCTACATATCCTTCTCTCAGGGCCATGGCCAGAACGTGGGCCCCTTTCTTTCGCTCCTCATCATCCCTCCGATCATAAACCTTCATGGCTATTTCTAAAAGTTCCTCTATATTCTTGCCCGATGCCCCCTCCAATTTTTGCAACTTCTTTCTAATGTCCTCGTAGGACTGGCCAATGAAAAGGGGGATTAGCACCCGTTTCCCGTTGATATCCTCAGGATCGAGGTCTGTGTATCTTTTACAAATATTACAAAGCCGCTCATAAAAAGCAGCTGGGTTCTCATTCCTTTCCTGTCTTATATTATACAATTTGGCCCAATTTGGGGTTTTCCTAATGCAGCGTTTCATTCCCTGCACTATAGCCGTAGCGTATTGGCTATGGTGGGCCCGGCCAGCCGCAACATGCGACCAGTTGGGAGGGCTTTCAGGCAGCCGCGCAGCCACCGCGGCCGAGTCTCCCTCCGTCTCAGCTACCCACTCGCGGGCCCTTGAGAGGACTAAGCGCCTCTCTTCCGCGGTTAATAGAGTGTTAAGAGCGACCCTCATGTCACCCCAAGTAGGGTTGTGGGCCGTAATTAAGGTCTCAAACACTGCTGTCAGCGGGGTGGGATCTTCCGAGAACGGGGGATTCTGTTGTTTCCAATTATATAGATCACTAGTGGTAAAGGGAACATATACCATAGTGAGATTGCCCTCAGGGGCTATAGTTTCCCGCAGTGGACACAAATAATTCCGTTGCAGGGGCCCTTGGAGTACCGGGCCACCCTTGTTTGATGAGCC